ACTGCCAGGGATGGGGCATCCACAGCTTCTCTGGGCAACCTGTGCCAGTGCCTCACCACCCTCACAGGGAAGAATTTCTTTCTAACACCTAATCTAAATCTCCCCTTCAGCTTAAGCCCATTCCCCCTTGTCCTATCGCTCTATGCCCCTGTAAACAGTCCCTCTCCAGCTTTCTTGTAGGCGCTTTAGGTGCTGGAAGGCTGCTGTAAGGTCTCCCCGGAGCCTCCTCTTCTCCAGGCTGAACAACCCCAACTCTCTCAGCCTATCAAAATAAGAGGGCTCCAGCCCTCTCATCATCTTCATGACCCTCCTCTGGACTCGCTCCAACCCCAATAGCCTTTTGCTTCTGATGTTGTAAGAGTATTCTGAGGACAGTAACTAATAGGACCACATTTTTAAAAGCATGCTCGTCCTCCGAGATAGGGGTAAAATCACATAGAAATACAAAACTATTGCATACTAGCGCAATAACATGAACATATTATGTTTCAGGTCTTCAGAATTCACGCTTCACAATGAGTTCGACTATCCAGGCACCGTTTGCATTAACGTCTATATTTGCCTATCTGCAAGGAGAATCCAGGGTGTTCTTTTGCACTGGAGTTTACAGACCTAATGCAGGGCACGTCCTTCAAATTTGACACTGTCCAACCAATTTGCAGAACACTCTGCTGATGTTTTACTGGTTCTGAAATTTAGAAAAATACCCACTCCTGTATAAAAATCATGTTGTTTTCAACCTCTGAAGGCAAAATCATTTACAGGCAGGAATGACTTTGACAGCGTCCCCTTAAAACTATACTTCATGTCACTATTTGTCATGTGCAATGATTTGTACTCCAGAGGGAGGAATATTTAGACACGAACAGTATTCAAATCCTTGTGAGAACTGGGACAGGAAAAAATTAAGCTTTTTTCTTCAGTTAAGCAAATTATATTATTAATTATTATTAGTAGTAGTTCCCTCTTAAGAATAACAAGGAAATTAAGCCTTTTCTTTCAAAACGTACACTAGATATACTGTGATTGGAATAAAAGCAGAATTCTTAATCAAGTTGTGAGGATTTGTTCTTTTTTTTTTTTTTTTTTTGGAAAAACTATTTCAGATGCTATATTGGACTGCAATAAAGTCATGGAGTTTTGTGGTTTTAGGTTTTTTGTTGGTCTTTTTGTTTTGTTTTGTTTCTTAAATGGACACCATGCCTGCTAGTAGCATCATTGTCAGCAGCCTTTCAAAATAATGTGAAAAGATATTAACATTTCCTTTCAAATGAAAGTGAACTATCAAGTGAGGAAGCTGCAAATAAAAAAGTACATGCATCCCCAGGTTTTTGCTAAGTTAAAAACAGAATAAACATAGCTTAGGCTTTCTATATGTTTCTAGTTATAACGGGTTATATACAAAAAGTATCCAAAAAGATATTGCCAGAAAACATCAGTTAAACCTATGTGCACTCCTCATAAACCCATTTAAAGAAACACCCCAAAAAGAACCACACAAAGGCACTGTGCCCTAGTCAGAATACAGAAAGATTCACCAATGCAATAATAAAATAATTTCATAATGCCGTTCTGGAAACAGGGAAGAAATGTAAACAAATTCATTCTTCCATAAAAAGGAGAAATATTTGCAATTGTTTAAAAATTAGAGAGAAAACCCAACACATGGAAATAAGCCCTTTTTTTTCCTTTTTTTTGTTCTTTTAAAGGAAAATTTGTTTTGTAAACCATTTGTCTTGGAATCCTCTCTGTAGGCATCACATATCCATGTATGCATATGCATGTGGAAACACACAGCGCCCCTGACTTCCACAGCCAACCACGCTGACTGCAGTTTGGTGGATCTGTGGTAATACAGTGATCATGTCATAAAATCCTTTTACTGTTTTGAGGTAGTAGAGGTCCTGGTATTAGCGCATTTTAAATCTTGGGAAAAAAAAAAAATCTCAGAATGGCAGTATCTTTCAGTAAATTATCTCCATCCTCATGCAAATACACATATTCTCCTTTCTTTCCCGTTGCAATGCCAATTCCGCAAATAGAAAACATTAGTATTTTGGACTTACCCATTTCTAATGTATTTATTTATCAGGCTAGTTTAAACATAAACTGAATCAGAAATTAAATCCTGCATTGAGTGAAGTCACTTCAATTTGGGTGTAGGTTACACAAAAGGAAGGTTTCTGCTTGGCTTTACTTTTATTTTATTTCACTTCACCACTTGGCTCAAGGAAAGGCAATATAGTTAACATCTGATATAGGTACAGCCTTTTTGGAAGAGGTTGACAAAATCCTCTTTAAGAATTGCTCAGGGTGGAAAAAGAACATCTACATGCAGGAAAAGAATTTCAGAGGAAAAAAGAGGCCACTGCCTTCCTAACCTTGGCAAAGTAATTAAATCACTTGTTTGAGTGGGCGTTCGTTTACACTATGTCTTCTTTACATAACTGCAGGAAAATAATTGAATTTGGATGGAAGGAACAAAGTAAAAAAAAAAATTGCTGAATTGCAAGTGATATACTGAGCCTTGCTGCTATTCATTCCCATGCAACACAAAGATAACAAAACCTGGAAAACAGCTGCAGAGGAACATCTCAGAAACATTTCTCGTGGCACAGCTTTGCATTTGGTAAGACGTTTATGCAATGTGAAGCATCCCAAGCACTGCCACTGATCACGTTACCTGAAGTGGTAGGCGATGGGACGTGGGTGACGTAGGGATGGTGTTGAAATTTGGGTGGGTTGTCATTCACATCGGCGACGGAGACGAGCACGCTGGTGGAACTGGAGAGAGCCCTGGGGAAGCCCCCATCGCTGGCCACCACCACCAAAGTGTAGTTCTCCCTCACCTCTCGATCGAGGAGAGCGCTGGTGATGATTTGCCCTGTTGATGGGTTGATTGTGAACTGTGAATTGCCACCGGTAAGCCTGTAGCTGTTTGAAAGAAAAAAAACAAGGAAGAAAAATTCAATTAGTATTTCATAAGGCAGCCTGCTGCCTTAAGATAATGACAATTTTCTATACTCCTCAGGCCACTATGCTGATGGGTATCAACACACAGATTTTCTTCTAACTGTCCATCTGTCTTCACTTTTTTCCCTCTTCCATATTTTGAGACCTGTCATAAATTACATTTCTGAGGATCTCCAAGTGTAGTTGCTTAATACAGATCGATTTCTAATAAATGAGGAGCAGACTGAGCCTTTGCACATTTGGAGATACAGTTGGACGTACTCTCAAAATTGCCTACTGGAGGCATCCTCTAGTACTTATTTCCCTGGGCTAACACATTGTTATTCCAAAAGGCTGACATACCTCTTAACTGAATCTACAGAATATAATTAGAAAAAATACTACTTTCTAAATAAAAGGATGCCAATTTTACAAAATAATATGAGGATTTCTAATTCATATTGTTTCCTGATACTGAGCTAAGTTTTGTTATTCAAGATTTCAATGTTAATTCATAGTAATTCATAGCAAATTAGTAACCACAGAACTACATTAATAGAGGCTAAATGGGACCCGAATTTGATCCTTGATGGGTGTATATGTATGTGCACACATCTGCGTGTGTGTGCAAAGATGTGATTTGGTAAGAACTGACCGTGTGCTTACTGCAGTGCGTCGTGCGGGCTACCTCTGGCTTACTAGCACGGTGAATTTGTCCCTTCTCTTGGAACGCTCACCCAGCTTGTGTTCGTACAGAAGGAATCTCAAAGATATGTGGAGCACTGGGCTGTATTTTTAAAGGTTATCGGTTATTATTAAATTTTTTATTAATTCAGACAATGGGGTTTCTACAAAACAAAGGAAACGAAAACTGGCTAAAATGAACAATTCCCGTATTATAACCCTGACAAAACCCAACACAGCCGTGATTAGCATTGCTTCTTCAGAGAAGCCTGGTACAGCACAATAGAGGCTTTTTTGAGGTACACAATTCTACAAAAGATTCAGAAGAAAATAGCTTTTACGAAAGAAGAGTAATATTCCTATCTTCACCTTTTGAAAATCAGAAGAGAAATGATAACAGAGGCCAGAAGCTTTACCTCAGGAATTGATAGCCAGCCTGTGTAATAAGCTGTGGCACCTTCTCCTGTTCAGTCATTAATATCTACAGAATGCCATGAGCATACTTTAATTGCTTAATTATGATAGAATATGATGGTCATATGTAATTATTCTCCAGCCATAGCAATGTGCATCTAGGGTGGAAAGAATGTGCACAAAGCCTAATGCGCCACTTAAATCTCCCTAAATACCAGCAGCACGGGCAAATTTCGTCTGTACTTTGCAACGTGTTAACCCCATGTGAGGTGTTGCAGAAAACAGAGACTTTCTCGTCTGTATTTCCACATATACAGAACGGCTCAAGCTTTAGCATCGGAAAGATGCTATGAAAACATTTATTTTTTTTTTAATAAAAAGACAATAAAGACAAATTACATTTGTGACAGGACAGTCTGAGTACCACTGCGTGCAAACCAATAGGACAATATAAGTGTGTCTCAGCACAGTTACCAAAAAATTCCAAACTCAAGCCAAAAGCCCCCCAAAACAACCAACCAACAAACTTTAATGGTGACAACTCGCATAAAAAGGGATTTGACTGAAGCACTTAAAATCTGGCCTTTCGACTAGTCTGTGCTGACCCCTCTTATCTATACTATCTTGAACAAGACTGCTCATGTGTGCATTGCCGTTAACAACCTCATCAGCCTCCTTTAATGATGTCATAGGTTATCACCAGAAATAAGAGAAAAAGAGTTGGTACGTATGGACATATAACAGTTTCGCAGTTTATGTACTTCTTGCAAAACACAGTCCATATTTTTGACCTTACGTGAAAACTTTAGCAGAGGATTTTACATACCATCATTGGAAACCAAAGATTTGATTTTGAAACAGGCTCTAACAAGACTGAAAAGGGGTTCTGAGAAGAACTCCTCTGACAAGAGACCTGACGTGTTCTGGTCCCTCTAGATTTTACCAGTTTTGCAATATCAGTCATATTTTAAGATTTGCATTACTCTAAATGCTGAATCTGGACAAATTCTGTCCAAGAAAAACAAAGTATGTTCCTGAGTCTACAAAGTGTAAAACAAAACTGACAACAATTTTTAAATAGCTACTAACGAACAAAAAAAATATTTTTGTCAACTATTCTACTATGAGGTACTGAGTGAATGACAAAGACTAATGGCAGAGATATTAAAGCAATTCAGCCACATTAAAGAAATCCGAGAGCACCCTGATAATTTCTGATTATGGGATGCAATCATTACAATCATTCATGCTTTGTATGGAATTCTCTTTTCTAGTCAGAAATAGTTTCTTAGAGTAAGAACGAATAGAATTAAAAGCTTCATTGTTTAACAATTTAATAAATGGTAATTTTGGATGCTTTTCAAATATTTAAAGATGCCAAAACATCAGGTTTCTATTTTTGGCTTGTAGCTAGTTGGAAAGAAAATATTACAGTACTTTATACACACTTGCTTTGCCATAACATAGTTCTGTTTTATTTTACTTCCTTTTTTTTAAAAAAGTGACAACCACAGTGATCTTTTTAGGCACTTTGAGGAATGGACTGAGGTGAACTAACAGAAATAAATAACAAAGCTACTTTCGTAGCCTGTTTTGTAAGTTTGGAAACAGAGATACAGGTGTTTGCAGTCATAATAGTTAAATGTGATGACATTACCTACGTGTCCTTCCAGTTAATAACTAATCCGAATCTGCTTTGTACTCCATTCACAATAAATTAGTCCTCAGTGGATGATCTTCAGCTTGTCACTGTCACTCAGCATCTTCATCACTCTTGTCTGCGAAACTGGGAACGGCCCAGGTTCAGCCCAGTGCCCAGTTAAGTTGCATCAACTGAGCTCTGCAAACCATGTGACATTTAAAGCAAAAATACCAGATTCTAACTTCTTACTGGTTTTCCAAACGGGATAAACTTTACACCTCGCCTTGTGCAATTTTCATTCTAAACTGAAGACATTAACTGACCATAAATCTACCCAAGGAACATGTTGGCTTGAAACATGAAAATTGCTTAGTGCATGAAAAGATGTGAACGCAGCAGCTAGGCAGGTAGAGGTTTCCGTTGCCCGTTCAGCGGTGTCTCCCCTAACATCTGTATTAGCATGTTGGGTGATACGGTACCTGCTCGGCTAATTTATTATAAAAGCATCCATGCGTGCACAAGCAGTTATCTAAACTACAGTTAGGTTTGAAAAAAACACTTAAGTTTCAAAATAAGATACCGAAGCCTTCCCCAAATATACGTATGCTATCACAAAATTAACACTATCCACTAGTTTGGACATTTTTATGCAAAAAAAGTGATACTGATTTTCTAGATTTGCCTAGCTTAAGAATGCAAGTTCTAGTCAGAACTGCAAAATACATTCTGTACTATAATATTATTTAACTCTGCCCCAAAGTCAGCTTTTGTAGCAAATTTGTTAATGACGTTTGAAAAGTACATCTTCCTCTTCCCCGCCAAGCCCTTCCCGAAAGCTCCTTCGATTCATATTTAAGGCGGCTGTCAGCCTCCAAGGCTTTCTAGCTTCTTCAGGGATACGTTTTCAAAGATTTGTATTCTATCTATTAACTATATCCTTCATTACAAGGCCCCAATTCTAAAAGCTATGCTAAGTAGAAGGCAAAAGCCTTTCCAAAGGCTACGCAAGCTGATGGCAGTCAGGAATGATGATCATTCACAGCCTATATTGTATTTCTTAATGCAGAGAATGTATATATAAAGACTGCAAGCTGAAGTGCTTAATCCATTTATGATATTATTTGAAGTTTCAGGGTTTCTTTGTTTTTGTTTTTTTTTTTAATTCATCTACCTTTGCACTTATTGATAAATATAAATCTAGCCTGTTAACAATTCCACTTGGGTGCAAAGTAAACTTGTTTGCTTTTCACTTTGCAAAAAACCTAAAATAACACTGCAACTCTACTTGTCCTTAATATAATTCTAAAAGCCTATAAACAACAACAACAACAACAACAAAAAAGCACCAGATTTGCCGATATAATTTAGATGCACATGTAGAGCTGTCCTTTTGTGTCTTACAGCTTTATGGCTCGTGGGTGATGGACACTGGGGAAAAAAATCTTCAGGCAAGGTATGAGGCAGTATTACATACAGCAACAGCAAACGACCTACCTAATAACAGCATTTGTAGAAGCATCAGCATCTGAGGAGTTTACGAGCAAAATATCTGTCCCCGTAGGAGCATCCTCCGGAACAGTGGCAGAATACACATTAAAGGCGAATGTGGGGACATTGTCATTGACATCATCCACCGTGACAGCAATGGTTCCAGTGCCAGTGAGGGCAGGAGATCCTGCGGGAAAGCGGGATACAAAATGCTAGAGGTTACAAATACCACCGTGCTAATCCGAGCTCTGCCATCCCCGATTTAAAGCCTAGTGCTTCAGCATGTCACAGTTCACAGAACAAGAAAACCAATTCAGCATACAAGAAAGGGTCAGATTTGTTTCAAAGGCACCTCCAACAGAAAGTACAACTTGTGAAAGGAAAAAAAAAAAAAAAGTTGTTATTTTTTTCTTGCTCCATCTAATTCCAGAAATATTTTGTAATACAAGCTCAGTGGAAAAAGATGGTCTTGGAACCGCTCAGAAGCCTTCCTGTAACAATTAGGACCAATTTGAACATGCGGTTGCCTTTCCTATTTCTCTAAGAGAAGATGTTTAAAGGTGGCACACTGACAGCCGTGAAGACTCTAGCCCTCAATTTATTTATCCACAGAACAAATAGAGCGGAACAGTGGCAAACCCCAGCTTTCCACGCGACTTTTCCGCTGCCGGTCGCACCCCTGACCTGGGAAGACCTTCTCTGAGCGGGTGAGAAGGTTGCACAGTCAGCAGCCCTGTTCAGACTCAATTTCTTCGTAGAAGCAACCATCTATAGCAGCAAATAATGCTCGCTTGGATGGGAAATCAGACCGAGCGTATTCAACCTACGGCTTTCGTCCTCCTTGTTATTCTAATGCTTAACTCTGATGAGCAGAAACAAGTCAGAAACAGCATGTTTATTCATGTGCAATCTCTCAGCATTTATTCTCTTAAGCTTTTCCTTTGTCAAGTCCAAAAAAAGACAATGAAGAGTTTTACAAGTTCATGTTAGTTTTGCCAGTCTATTACACTTATTTTTAGCCAAGAATCAGCAAGACATCTTCTGCTAACCAAATTCTTCCCTGAAAAAAATGGTATCGTTCCTTTCTTTGGATACATAACACAAAGGATAATGAGAGAATGATAGTAGAGCATAAAACACATGAGTTATGGCCCCTTTTACTGAAAAGACAGATGACAACCGTGCCTGTTTTACCCAGGATTGCATCACCTTCCCCTTCAGCCTCAAAGAGATAGAACTATTCAACATTTGCTAGACTGGGAAAAATCGATGATAATGAAATGCTTTGGGCCAGAGACTGGTTTGAGCCCTTGCCGCAAGGGAAGCATCTTACACGGGGCTTTCGTTTGACGAAAGGCAGGCAGTCCTCGTGTGACTGCCCCAGTGCTTCCAACTCAGCAGACGATCGGGTCGCTGCTCCCCTAAGTTATTGCTGGACCTCAACCTTAGGGCTGGGGAGGAGGCAAGCTCTGCTCTTGGTCTTATGTGGTCCTGGCAAGGGCTCCAGACACCGAGGTCTTGCATAAAAGAAGAAATAACGATCCGCTTTCCCACATGTTAACCCTTGCAGGTTGAAGTACCACCACACTGCAACCCGGGAAGAAGCTGGGAGCAGCTTGCGCACGGGAAGGAGGTTTTTCACCGTTAAATACTTCAAAGTAACTTGGCTTAACGCGCAGACGGGCTGAAGGAAAGAGCTTCCAATTGAATGGCGCTATAAATCTCGCAAGGCTGACTTTGAAGCCTGCTGATCGGACGGGCCGGATCACGACATCGAGGAAAGAACATACGAGCCAAAGAGTATAGGTTTCATGCCACAGCCTCGCACAATGGAGGCCTTTCTCTGCTCTAGTCTGAGGTAATTCATTTTGCCAATTAATATACTTTCAGCCAGGAAGGCTACATTAAGGCAATAAGCCTGACTCATTTTTTATCCTCTCCCCCGATTTTGTCATTTAGCCAAACACTTATAGATAGAAAAGACTGCAAAAGCGTTCTTGATTGCTGAAATATTGCCCGCGGAGTGTTTATTATTACTGCATTAAATGAAACAGAGTCCTCAATGGTGTTTGCTGCGTGTGTCATCAAGCTCTGGCCTTCCAAACACATTTAATCGACATTCATCTAGCAGCTAATGAAATGAAAAGTTGAAAGTTGTTAAGTTTCACAGGTGATTAAACAATTTATACATAATTCAGAAATTAATCTTGGTTAAGTCACATTCAAAGAGCATCAGTAACGCAATTCACCCTGGAAAAGAAAGCGAACTCGCAGCTAAAACCTGAAACTCATTGTTTTAGATTTATTTGCTAACGCAAAGAGCCAACGCTGGAAAATTCACGCTATCGGTTTATTCACACAAATGACCTGCAGCAGCAGCTCCTCCAAACCGCTCCTTTAGAGGCAACCTGACGCTGGGGCGATGGGACTGGCTCCAGCGCGGCTCTGCAGGCTGGCCCATCCCAGCGGGGAGCACCGAACTCGGGCTCTGTGCCGCGCTAGCTGTGCCGGAGAGAGGAGAACGGGAAGAACGCGTTCACGTCTGCCGGCAAAGCACCGCGTGGCCATACGCTAACAGCAATGGGTTTGCTCTTTCTCCTGCGTGGCTATGAAACCTTTGGTCACATACTGGAAATGGTCAGAAGGGATGCCAGATGTAATAGCTGCTTGCGCTATGGATATTGTCCTGCTCAGGATTACACCGATAGCAGCAGCTTTTAGCTCAACCATTTGACTCCAAGCAGCCTCAGCTCCCATTCCTCTCTGAGGAATCCGAATTTGCAGGGTACCAAACAAACTCTCCAAGGGTCAAATCCCAGCCCCCGCCTCAGCTCCCCATATATTCCATGCCATTATTCTCCGATTCCACTTCCCCGTTGGATGCTTGTGCAGTTGGAGGCAGTGCACAGCGCAGTACGGACGTATTGATATTAGCCTCAGAGAAGTGAATATACCAGCCAAGGTTGAGCACCACACTAATAAAATTAGCTAGGGTAATGTAAGTAACCCAGATCTCATTCAGCGTTAGCTTGCGGCTGCGTTGTGCTCGCAGAAACATCCCAGAAGTCCAATATTAATTCAGCTGTTTGCAACATCCCAAGTCACTGCTCTTCAGTTCAAAATCCCAAATCCTTCTCATTTTACTTAGATGGAAAAACTCACGTATTTACATTGGTTTCCTGTCTATGCAGTTATCCAAATATGGGTTTTTTTACCCTCTAAGTAAAACATCACGTCCACAAATTTACTCCTTTATTCTATTACACTGAAAGATAAAGTTGCAATTTCACAGAGACTCCTCAAAGCTTTTATTCACTTGAAATTAAATGACTAGCTCACATTTCTGCAGTTACTGAGAAATATAAGAAGAGGAAATTACAAATGAAGTAATTTTCTATGGAAAAGAAATAGCTTGGGGCCAAATTCTACCGTCCTCAGTGAACTTTCAGTGAAAGTTGTGCTTGCATAAGGACCACAAAATTTGGCCCCTGGTAATAAGTAGGTTTCATAAAATGTACATGTCATATTTGTGGTGAGAGAAGTAGTTTCCATGGTCAGGCTGAGTTCCCAGATTTCTTAGTTTTGCTTCGATAGCAAATCTTCCCCAAGTCGGTTATTCTTATTATGCTGGAGTATCATCCCTTTTTTTCTTCAAACTTAATATTTTGCATAAATAAGTGTAGTAAATTCTGTGTAAGTTCTGCAGTATTAGCCAAACACTCAAGATGCCCCCAAACTGTTTTTAATAAACCAGGCATGTTACAACCTATATAAAACTGCTGTACACAGCCACGCAAGCCTCGGAGTACTCCTACAAACAGCCCTGAGGGCCAGATCCACAAAGAAACATACACTTTTCCCTTAGTGAACTTACACTAAAATTTCTACCAATTTTTCATAACAGTCCGAACTATTTTTCAGTAGAAGCAGCACCTATTTCTTTCTAGTGCTATACCACTAATACTTTTTTTTTTTTTTTTCCCAAATCCCAAAACACCATGTCTCACAGAGGCTTAGGACATCCATGCTGAAAAAAAGTTTTCTAGAAAGGCGGAGGAAAGAAAGAACCATGAAATGATTGATCACTGGAAAACATAAAGTTAACTATGCAAACCAAATGGGAGAGATTGGATCGACTGTTCAGTGAATATCAAATCTTTTAAATTTTAAAGATGATGACATTAATATTATATTATTATTACTATTTTGAATTTCCCATCTCTGTGTGCTGTGGTCTGTTTCTATGAACTGAACGGTTTATTTTCTAGGTGACAGCTGTACATATACATTAAGCAGACAGTCCCACAAACGTCCACACGTCACAGCTGACATGAAGATTAACCTGGGATAGTGTCAAAATAGTAACGCTGAGTTCAGGAAGAAAATTGCTTCCCACGGATGTTCTTCCAAAAATTTAAGCTTTTTGCTTACATCTGCAAGTAAACATGTGTCTGGGGACGAAGAGAAGGAGCAGACCTTGGGAGCCTGCTCCTCGGAGGCCCACGGTGGAGGACGCGTTACGGGGGGGTGGGGTGGGTACAAGAGGCCACCTCGGGCTTGGCCAGCGCGGGGCTGTGGCTCCCCTCTCCGCGTGGGATGTGGAGGGGGTGGCGGGAAGAAATGGTCGTGGGGGACCGTGGGGCGGGCAGGGAGCAGCATGGGGGCAGGACCTCTTTTCTCCCAGCAAGGCAGGACCGGCAAAGACCTACAAGCTGGTCTTTCGCCCCATTCGCCAACGCTTGTTTGCGACTGATTGCCGCAAAAATGTGACGGTAGTGGAAATGCGACAGCTTAGAAGTTTAATGCGCCCTCTCAAATTTTTCCTCCCCTCATCCAGGAGAAGGGGGAAGAAAAATACTGGCTATGTGCAGCAACACAAATAGAAGAAAGGAAACTAAATGCAGGATGGTGACATTTAACCTGACAATTTCTACCTCCCAAATGCAGGATAACCAGCAACGAGAGGACAAACATTTCTGGGTGAACTCATCATAAGTCACTCATTCTCCTAATTGGTGCTAATGCTTACGAGCCACAAAGTCATCCACAAGGGATGCACCTAAAGACCGCTTTCACTTTCGCCTTGGCCTACTCATGCACCTTCAGAAGAAGGGAGAGCCACCTACTCTCTTCATCCACCCTTGTCCTGCAGAACGGGGAAGGTAAGCCCTCTCGGGTCCCTGTAAT